CTTTCACTTCCCACACTGATAAATAAAATTTTTGCATTTATATCAATTCATTTAAAAAAATTTGATTGGACGAAACTTTTATCTTTCAATGTGTAACACAAAAAATTAAAAAATGAAAACAAATCTGTTTGAAATTATTATTCATTGAATAATACCGTAATCATTTATTTCTGTTATAAATATATCACTAAAAATGAAAGTTATCCATTTTCGAAAATCTTTAAATTGCAAAGAAAAAATTTATAATCTTTTTGCTTCACTTTACTCTTTCTTTTCTTTACGGAACAAATATGACTTTCTTTTCCTTATAGTAAATAATAAATTGAAATTATTATTTACAATTGTTTTCATATTTAATTCAGAATTGATATCGGGAATGATAATAATATAACATGCAAAACATAAGGAAGATAATGATAAAATTAATTCAAAACTTGAAACTTTTTAATTTCCCATCTTTTCATTTATTATTGGCTAATTAATAAAAAGAAAAAAAAAACGAATTTCATTTTAAATATATATCTTTTAGTTATAACAATTATCTCTCAGTCGATGTTTTATTTTTTGATGTTTCAATCTTTTCAAATTTTGTTGGTTAAAAGAATTATTTCTTTTTTCTTCCGCCGTACAAATAGTCTAACGTATCACTCTTACACGCTATTGAACAGCTGTTTGCTATATTTTCGCTTTAATTTATTGCAAGAAATAAATTTACTGATTTTCCTTCTTCTTCTGAAAGTAATAATTGGAATAATTTGAAGCGCTACTCAACGGCTGGCAATAAAAAATTTTAAAAAGTACATTTTTTCAAAAAGTACAAATTTTGAAAGTATGAAAATTATTTTTTAAAGAATTTTGTGCATAATTTTCGTAATATCTATTATATAATTTTCTATTTTTTTAATTTTTGAATGCAATTATAATCAGCCGTAGGCAATTCAGTTTTCCATTTTTTTGTTAAATATAAATGAAGGAAATATTACATTTATATATATTACTGAAATATCATTTTCTACATACTCCGAATATTTGTTTGATGACGTAAAATTGATGTTTATTATATTTAAATTTGACTGATAACAAATGATATCGTTAATAAATAAAATTCTTTATCAATATATTACATTGAATAAATAATGATTACAGTACTTTCATATGTTATATAACTTACCATTAGATATCGTAATTTACAGAATAGTTTCAGATTTTTTATCAATTTTATCAGTCTCCCAAAAATTTTCATTCTTCTTTCATAACTTTTGTTAACTTATCATTGTAAAATTTGAATTTGAAAATTTTTAATGATAATTAGGAATGATATTCTATTTTTATCATTTGCATTTTAATCATTTGAAGTGCATGCTTTGTAATTTAAATGTTTTCTTCGTTTTTGAGTTTTATTTTTCAATTTTAAACCTTTCAATTTCTAATACAATTTATTGACAATTTTCTTTCAACACTTTTTAAATTCACTTTTTGATGCAATTACTGCAAATTGCTAAGTTCAACAATAAGGTAATCAAACTTACCTTTTCATTATTGTAATTATTTTCGTACATATGCTAATATAAATTATACGTAATATGTGACAATTATTAATTACACGCAACAGTTGACAAATAATTGCTAATTAATTATTATTTTTTACACAAAGAAAAGAATTAAACTTTAATAATTTATTTAAACAAATATTATTTTAGAAAAATATTTTTTATAAAAATTATTGGAAAAATAAAATTTTACTTAAAAAAATTAATTCGTCGCATTTTAATTTCAATAATTTCTTTTTTCATTCATTCATTTGCAATTTACTTCTTTTCTTAATAATATATTATATGTGTTTGTGTGATAACGAAATTTTCATTTTCCAACGATTTTCTCTCTGAGAGAGAGAGAAGAGAGAGAGAGAGAAAATTGATGTATTTTGCATTATTTCATTTCTTTTTTTTTGATAGAATAAACAATTTAATTTTAAAAATTTTGATAATATATTTTGCAATAATAATATCATTATTGACAGTAAATTAATTTTTAAATTGATATATAATTATTTTTTCAATTTTTTTAATTCCATTAAGAAATAATTCTTATTAGTTTCCATTTCCAATGAATTATTTCAAATAATTTTCGGCTAAACTAAAAATGAAAACAAAAAGTTTATTTTAAACATTATTTTGTTATAAAGAAAAAACAATATTTGCTTTTTCTTTATAACAATAAATATAACTTTATAACAGATATACAAATATTGATAACAAATGTATAACAAATATTGTTCTTATAATTGTTTTTATAACAAATATTGCTTAAATGATGACCATGATGATGATGATGATGATGATGATGATGATGGTGATGATAATGATAACAGTGAAGAAATTTGTTGTTAGAAATTTTTTCGAAGAAATTTTTTTCTTTGTCAAAAATTTTGAATTAATTTTAAATTTTAAGATTTTAGCTTTTAAAAATATTTTCGTAAAAGTTTGAAAATGCTAATGGTTTTTAGAAACTTTGAAAAATATTATCGCTATTTTCTTGAATTTTGTTCCTTTTATTTATTATTTTATAAGTTGCATTATCTTAAATTTTTTGCAAAAGTCGCATTTTCACTCAAAAAACTTGTCTTTATTCAAATTTTTTGGTCTATTAATATTTTTCTATTATTAAATTACAATTTAATATTAATTTATTTAATCAGACTAATTTAGAAATAATAATAATCGGTTGATTCATCCATCTGTCTAATAAATATAAGCCTGATGTAGAATTTCCGTAAACATTTATATTTGCATCGATTTCGCAAAATATATCTGTTTTTTTTCATCCGGAATTCGATTCATTAGAAATTATTCCAATTCCTAATAAATCTATTAAATAAAGTATTTATCGGATGATGCAGGCCATGATGGCAATGATGACATGATGATAATGATGATAATGATAACAGTGATAGTAACGATGACTAGAACGGTCAATGTTAAGAAAATTTCGTAGGTCAATCATTAGACACAAAAGAGGTCGGTCATTTCGAAAGGTGGCAAAAGGAAAGAGGGAAAAGGGGAGGGAAAAGGGGAGGAATAGAATGGCCGGAAAAAGATTATCGGAATTTAGCATCTGTTTGGGGGAAAGGAAGTTGCAACAGCTGCTGCTCTAGTCATTTAATTCTAGCTATTTATATCCATAGTGATTCCGTTTTTGTGAATTTCCGGACTGCAATTATTATCATTTTTAATTGTTTTCCGTAAACATATTTATCGTCAAGCAAACTTTATATTTTATTTATACCATTATCCAAGAGCTTATTTTATATGATAAAAAGTAAATATGCTACAGAAAGTTCCAAAATTTGATATTTTGTGATAACTTTTCTTCAGATTTTTCTTCTGATTCATTTATTATTTTTTTCTTTTAATATTTATTTTTACGTAAATATTTTCAAGCGTATTTTTACACGTAAATACATTCGAAATTTTTGTATACAAATTATTACCACTAATCAATTATTAATCGAATTATTGATCGAGTTATTAATCGAATTATTAATTGAATTATTGATCGAATTATAATTTTTCATTTTATTTAATTTGGTACAATTGCTTTTTTAATCATTAATTTAATTCATTCATAAAATTCAACCAACCATTTAAATTTTTTTCGAAAATTTTTTAATTCAAATTTTTAAAAAATGTAAATGTGCTTTTGTCACACAAAAGAAAAGAAATGATAAAAGAAAGATGACCCGAAGGGAATGAAACTATCATTCGATCCATCTTTAATTTTAACATTTGACCTATTTCATATTTCATTTTTTCATTGCTTCCTCGTTTGTTTGTTTCTTTATTTTACATATCTCATCTGTTCATACCTTATCAATGCATATCAATCGATTTCTATTATTTAAAATATTATGATTAATATTAATCATTAAATTAATATTATTTTAGTAAAGTTTTGTTAAAATTAAGAATTTCAAGAATGAATCATTCATTTTCTCTAACTTTTCATCTCAATTTCTTTCTTTTCAACTCTCTCAATCACTTCCGTTTTTCATATAATTATTATTATTTGTTAAATTATTTTTACAACTATAATATTTATTTGATATTTCTATTATCAATTAATTCATTGAATATTATAAACATTAATAATATTCTAATATAATGCTAGAATGTAAACTTTACCGAAACAGAATAATTCCGTTTAATTTAAACTAATTACTGAAAATGTATTATCATATAAATAAATAAAATGGGAAATTTTTGCTAGTTATCCAATTTAACAGTACTTGATAAACATCACGGATAAATTCATGAAGAAGAAAATGATAAGTTGATTGAAATGACGTACGTGATTGAGATGGCGTAATCAAGATTGTAATGGAAAAATGGACTTGAAATATATTTATTGCTATGATAAGTGTATAATATAAACAGTAATAGTTCGGAAATTTTACATAGCCTATATGATTTTAATTATCGCTTATAAATTTAATAATTGAAAAGTTTAAAATTTAAGCTGACCGGTTAGAAATTATAACCATAAAACAAATAGGATTGAACAAATTTTTCTTTTAATATTAGGTTGAAATAGAATGAATAATTATCGGTGAATGAATAATTATGTATATTTAATGATTTGGTTTTACTTTATTTTCATTTATATTTTATATTTCCGCCGTGTATTTTACGTATTTGCTAATGGTGTACACGTATAGTTATTTTATATTACATTAAATTTATAATGAATTTATGGAAATTATCTTACAGATTGGAAAGAACGGTGTCAGTGGTTGACATTTTGCTGTTTAATATTTCGATTACGAAGTTATATTTATTATTAGAAAAAAAATAACTAAGTAAACATTATTTCTGGTGAAAGAGAACAGGATCAGGAAACATTCATGGCTAATTTCAATAATTTGGTTGTAACAGGTAACAAATTATTTGTTTGATAACTAATATTGACAAATATTTTATGTATTTTTCCTAAAATAGCAAATGATGACCCTATTCGAGGTCAAAGGTATATAATGGGTCATTTTTGGAATTCTAATTTATAATTATATTTTTGATACCATTACATAATCGAACTATTTTACATAATCAATTCAAATAATTATTTAAATTCAAAGTGATAAAAATCATTTCAAATAATTGCTTGATTTGATTACATAGACTACTTTGTTGTAATAGTATAGTTATCATCCGTTAATGGTAAAATGTTAAACCGGATGCAATCATTTTCTACGTAAACGACTAATAATTAGCATAAATTCAATTGTTTGTTCATAACAATAATTGGTGACAATAATAATAATAATAATAATTAATAATAATTATTATCAGTAATAATAATAAATAGTAATAACATTAATAATTAATAACAATAATAATTAACAATAATAATAATAAATAATAATTGTAATATATTACAGTTATTTCCGCTCGTGGCTTATCGCTCAAAGGACATAACAAATTGGAAGCATTCGTAAATTTGACAATTAACGGTAAAGGAAACTGGAAAAGTAAAGTACAAACAGATATTATCAGGACAATAACTGACTGTAAATGGGATCAGCGATGTGAATTGTATGTTTATAATTCGACAAAAAAAATTTTTCATAAATTTCCATATCAATTTTAGCATCAATGATTTATATTACATTTCAAATACATTGAATTGTTCGAAAATTTCTGGCCAATTAACAAATTACTCAAACGAATAATGATTATATAAATTATAAAATTTAAATTTTAATATCTAAAATTTTTATCGACTTTTATAAGAAAAAAATGTTTTCATTGACGAAAATGAAGTCATTAATGACAGATAATTATAATATAAATTGGTAGAATAAATTGACAAATTATTGTTTATTATTACAATCAAAGTTTATTTTAAGTGCATTAAATGATTTGGATTCGGCGTTAACAGTAACTGTTAATCATCGTACCGTATTGGGTACAACTGATTGTATTGGTGGAATTGAATTACCGTTACATTCATTGGTACACGTACGTATGCCAACGTGGTATCGCTTATATAAGAAAGGTAAATATGACAATAATGGACAACAAACGAAATATCGCGGTGAAATATGCCTGAAATTTGAATTTTCCAATAAAGTTTGTACGACAAAAAGCAAAAATTTGTCAGCTTCATCACTTTCAATTGGAACTTTGCATGGTTTGTTCTTAACTTCTTCGATTACTTTTTTAGCAAGTAATTATATTATTAAGCAAATTAGTGTCAAAAAATAATAATAATATTGAAGTAAATTATAATTTCAAATATTTATTATATTTGTGAATCGATTAATTTAATAAATCTTTTAAAAAAATAATAATTCAAAATTTATGCAAACGAAAAACGAATGATTACAAGAAATTTATTTTGCTTACAAAAATTTGATAAAAAGAGAAAAAGTTATTCATTAAATAATTAAATGATAGTATTTAATAAAATATCATTTTTGAAGTATAAATAAATTGCATCAATAAATTATATATAATAAATTAGAAAATTAAATAAAATTTTATTCAAGCATTGCTACAATTTAACACAATAATATGTTAATAAATATTTGTTCTCACGAAATAATTGATAATTACCATTAATTTTGGCAGTTATAATATTGACTGTTATTGATATCGCTAACACATACCAGTTAAAGCTAGATTATCCGGTTATTGCTATACTATCCGGTTATATATGTTACTATACGATTATATGTTTCTTATTGGTTGTTTTCTGGAAATTTATCTATTCATTATCACTTCTTCAAGCTATCATATGATTAAAATTACTAATTATTATAGCAATTTTTATATAATTTTTATTTTTCTTCAGGTCCCAATAAACTTGGTGATACATTAAAGCGTAAGATACGATTTGGAAAAAAAAAGACTAATGGTGCGTCGGATACCACTTCACTAATAAGCCTTCCACAGTACAGTCAACATCGTTCTTCGCTCTGTGAAGTTTGTCCAACGATTCCAAAACCAAATCGTATTTCAACAATCGATTTAAATCGTGATGGACTAATAACACCACCAGCTGCTGCACAAACTATCAGAAATTATGCAACGCCATCGTATAACTATAGAAATAATGGTGCTCCCATTACATTTATCATTTTGAAATTTTTATTTTATGATTTGTGAAATTTATGTCCAGTCAAATTTAAACGGTTGAATTCATTGAATATAAAAAGCAAATATTCATGAGATCTGTCTATAACTATATAATAGAATTTTTAAGCAAATGGTTTTCAAAAGACAGAAATTTTTAATATTTTTACATTCCAAACATTATTAAACATATTATTATTATTTACCTTTAATTATTAATGAATTATTTATCACCTTATTAGTTCTTATTCATTTCTCTATTCTTTTTTCAATTTAAATTTATCCATCCTTTGTTTTAAAAGTTTATTATTGACATTTTCATTTGTCTTAAATTACAATATTAAAATTTTTCAAATTTATTTTCAAAATGATAAATAAAATAATGGAAATTAAAGAAAGAATGAGAAATATGAAAGAATGGAAATTTTAATTATAAAAAGAATATGAAAGATTGTCATAATATTTGCAAAAAGAAAAGGAAAGCTAAAAAATTCTATAATATTATGATTTTTGCAAGTTTCATTTTTTCTTTATATAATAATCAAAGATGAACTAAATATAAAATAATATATAAGAATTTGGAGAGAGAAAAAAATACTTTCCTCTTACATACAGGAATTGATGGTGCATTATATGATTCACAACGTACGTCAATATCATCGAATCGAAATTCTTTGAATTCATCTCCAATACCAACAGCTGGAGAAATTGATGGTTCCGAATCACCAGCAATAGTTCCACGTCCGCATAGTGCAACTTCATCCGGTTTTGGTTCTGCACAATTAACTGTTATCAATAGTTCCGATTTAGCTTCGGTACATTATCTCTTATACATACTTATTAGGGAAAGTTATATTTATTCATATTAAATTTACATTGCTTTAGAAATAATAAACAATGGTATTCGAATAACAACACAATATCATCATGATATTCTTAATTACTGAGATATTCTGAATTATCAGAATATTTTATCATATTTGTAAATATATCTCTTCCTTATCAGTTAAACACTTGCAGAAGAAATGTTTAACTGATAAGCGTTATCATTGGTAAACAAATTGTAAGATTCTCAGATCTTTTGTATAAGCATTGAATCGTTATTTTTTTTCATATTTTTCTTTGCTTTTTTCAAACTTACGTTTTAATTAAATTTGCTTCTCCGAAAAAAAGCTCATAGTTCTGAATAAATTATTTCAATTATAATTTCCAGATTTCTCATTGTTCATCACGTGAGGAATTATTAAAGAACATCAATGATTTACGAAATGAATTAGCACGTAAGGATGCAAAAATCAACGATTTACAAGATTATATTGGGAAATTACTAGCAAGAATTATGGAGAAAAATCCGGAAATGTTGGAAGTTAAACAGTCACGCGGTTTTTTTTCAAGACATTAGCGGTTTTTCAAGTATGCCGGTTTTCCTTCCTTTTTCTTTCTATGTCTATTCAAATTGTGAATTTAAATTCTAAAAATTATGCGTCATCAACTAATTTATTGACATAATTTGTTACTATCAACTAGGGCGTTACAGACCACTTTTGTAGATATAGTACCATTGGTTATATTCATAATGGAATATTACTATAATCGTTTTGCATAATATGGTACCTGAAATTACAATGTGGTATCGTATTTTCTATTAGGACACCTCATTTTATTATCTCAATGAAGCAAATAAAGTTTTCAATTTTCCATAGAATTATGTGATATTGATGTCATTTGAAATAATAAAAAAAATAACTTCAATTGTATTTAAATGCAAACATAAATGATACTATAATATATCAGTACAGGTATATTATCTTATCACTAATCACAGTACAGACATTTTAAACTGTAAACTAAGAAAGTTTTTGCTCATTATTTTAATTTATTCTCTCAACGTATTAGAATAAATTAATTTCTTTCATTCTTTTTTTTAAATGTTATATATATATTTTTGCATTTAAGTGAAAAAAACAAACGAATGGGTTTTTTTTGTTAAGCAAACTCTACAGATCTTTACAAGTTATCAATGATAAAATATGTATGATAAAATCCAAATCATATACTTGTTTCAGTGTTTCCTGAAGTATGTTTATTTTTTCTTCTACCGAAAAATAGAAACTTAAAAATTGTCAAGTAATGTGAGATTTATTTTCTTCCTTCATATTTTTGTTTTTCGAAATCATTGTTCCACTTTATAGATAAATGTATGCTTTAAGAAAGAGAAACAAAAATATACGATTAAATAATTTGAAAGTTTTGGATATTTATCACAGCTTTGGACACTGCTATGAAATCCGATTGGATTGTAATAAGAAAATAAAGGGAAAAAAGGGGTGGAAAACAAATTTCATCGCTTTGCCCTTTTTATTCTTCTATTCTTGTGAAAAGCAAGAAAAGACACGACAAGGAATTGTAACTCATTCCATCACTGCATTTGCAAAAATGTAAAATACAATACGTTGAATCAATCAGCTACCATTTTCATTTTATATTATCACTTACTATCAGCGTTCTATTTGGTACTTCGCTTCAAATGAAGAATTCTTTTTCTCATACTTATAATCACTTGAAAAATTTTTCTAATAGTGCCAAATAAATGACTAAGTAGTTTACTCAGAAGTTCAATGGCAAAAATTTTGTTTTATTATTCGTAAATTAGTTCTTCGTGAAACTACTGAAATTCAGAAGTTCCGTTAAAAAAAATTTTTCAAATTTAAAAGAAATTTGGGAATTTGCGAAGTCAAGATTTCAAAAGCCTCTACCCTTCCCCCCTAATGCGCGCCCCTACCCCTCCGCTCCTACACCACTTTCCGAAGAGGGAATTTATAAGAGAAATTCTGAAGAACCTCCGGTACAGAAACCTAAAAGTAACATACTGTTAATGGCCCGTTAAATTGATGTCGCAATTTCTTGCGTTTATATTTTTGAATTTGGTTGGCGTACGTATTGTTCGTGATTTGGGGTATTTTGTTATCTTTGACCGATTTGTAAATTGAAATTTGAAATTGAGAACTTTTAAAACATAACATTTTGATAATTGAAATATAGAACGAATAAAAGAAAAAAAGTGTAATCTTAAAAATTCCTAATGATTCTCTGAGGATACCCGAAAAGCTTTATCAGAATGGCTGATTGGATATTTCATAGTTTCGTCAAGATCTTTTTGAGACGAGGAAGGAGAGAAACATTCTGAAAGATTCTCTTTGTTATTTCGAAATATTCTTTAAGATGCGTGTGAAATCTCTTTTGTTTTTTCCGAAAGGACAGGATGATTCCCTTTCATTTCCACAATAGTTTTCAAGACTTGCTGGAAATAACTGAACTATTCTGAAATATGCAATATTTTACCAGAATGTGAGAAAGGTCCTTATTCTGGGATTTTCCGTGATCTTCGAAAAATAGTAGTGAATCATGGTATTACAAAGGCGAAAGGATTTAGCTTCTATGGGATTACATAGAGTTATCACATAATTACTGAGATTTTGCAGCTCGAATTGATGTTATATCGGATTATACGTTAAAAATTTTCGGAACCCTGCAACAACAGTTATGGAGGCTTGCAAACGTACAAGATATGCAGCGATTGATGCCAGTACAAGTGAAATAGTGGTTGCCTTATCTGATATAGACGAAACTCGTTCAACAAGTAAGAAATGTGATGAAATTAAAAATTCTGGATATTTTTTTATTGGAAAGGAAATACTTTAAAATTCTGGTCTTTTCCTAGTAATACTCTTGTAATCTTGGGTGATTTTGTTACCAAAAATAAATTAAAATTACCTATGATTAGTATTGTTGACTAATGAAAGTTACTATCCTTTTTTCACTATTCCAGTATCTTCACATACAGAATTTTTTTCTGGGATTTTCTGTCTGAATAATACATTTAAAAATTTTCGAATCGAAATCCATGTGTGACTGTGCATCACAGCATAAGAAATTAAGTTTTAATATGGAAAGTGTTATTGTTATTTACTTCTTAGAATAATTGTTTGAAAATATCTTGTTATCTTTTTGAAATTTTAAATTTTCTTAATCAATCATGGGAGAAGCAGTCGTAAGATGAGTAATAATATAATGATTCGAGATAAATGATCATATGCTTATTTTGGCTTCACCTATTATATTGTTTACATTATGTGACATTCCTAATATGTCGCTCTTTAAGAGTATCATTTTTTATTCTATGATATCTTAGGAGCATCATTATTTCTTCAATGATATGATAAGAATATCAATTTTTACAACAAATGTAGCTGATTTGATATTGTCATTTAGTTCTTTGATTATATCCAGAAAAAAATTAAAGTATTAACTTAATAAAACTCGATGATGTGAATTTATCGGTGGTCAGTGATAACTTCTCATTTAGATAATGCACCGGTTGGTGATTTGATTCGAGCAGTTTCAATCAAACATGTCGATCAAACAATATTTAAACATCCAGCAATGCTATTGCTTGTCCATGAATCACATTGTGAGTATTTTATGCGAATTTACTTTCGAAATCTGAAACTATTCTTCCTTTGGCGTTGTTGACTTTTTTTGGAAACAATGATTTTTTTTTTCTTACTTTCAGCCATCTTCTCTCGCGCGCAACATGATGCAAAAATCATCACACTCACGGTGTCTGAGTGAGTTATATTATTTAACTTTTACTTTTCCAAGAAAGTTGATTTGAGCACAGGATCTGGATCTGGATCTTGCCTAATCACTTCCAGAATCATTTATGATTCCCATAAAACGTTTGGTTCCATATGCTTTTCTGGGGGAGAAAGAAGGAAGAGAGAATGAAAAAGAAAGGAAACGTGATGCAGACACGTTTTATGGACTAACTAAGTAACTGAACAGTTTTGAGAATTATCGCTTCCTTAGTCTTGAACTAAAAAGAGCCTTAACTTTATCTTCATTCTAGTACTCTATATTTCTGATAATTTTCAAGAATTAAAAAAATTAATCTAAATTCCAGCGTGCTGTCATACAGTTTACAGTATCGTTCCATCATTCGATCAACACTTTCAACAATTCCTGTATCAGAATTTGAAATTAAAGAATCACTTACCACAGCAGAGCTTATTTGGTCGCTTGTTGAGGCTATTTTCATTAAAACTCATGGTATGTAGAGTAGCCTAAAGAAAAAAATCTATATTCTTGATCACAATAATGAGAAATATGAAAATGGAAGCCTAGAAATCATAGAATAGCTTTCATACCTTTTCTCTTTCTCTGCTTAGGAAGATCGTTTGAGAAATTTGAAGAAAAAGACCATTTACTGTTTGGCCTATGTAGTATCACAAATATCTTTTATTGGATAGATCTATGCAGCTTCGCTTAAGATTCTTCTGTTGTGGTCGACCTAATGACTTGGGCTCGTTTATGCTTGGCACATACCCCATATGTTGATGAAATTTCAAACTTACTTCGTAGCAGCAAAATAAAAAGACTCAACAAGCAACATTTTTGGCATCAGGTGAGGTTTCGAACTTGGTATGGCGTATTATGGAAAATTTATGGCCTTAATCATAATGTTGCTCATAGTTATCTTCGGTTTTAATATTTTATTTTATTAGAGAGTTTTATCATATTCTAATAGTCGTTTATTGTATTACTTGATGGTTATTTTGATTTAGCGGATTATTTTGTTTAATGTTTTACTTATGTTATCAATATTTGGATTTCCTGTTGCAAGCTTATTGACGCTGCGTACTAGAACTGATATTCAGTTGTAAAAAATAGAGGGAAACTAGTTTTTTTGTAATCTTAAGAAGTTTTTTTTAGCTTTTAACCTTCCTACTGCTAGGTCTTCTGTATTAATTTAACTCACCGATTGGTTCATTGAATGATTTGGAAAGTTAATTGTTGTTACGACACCTGAGATTTCCCGCTTATTGTCATTTTTTTGGAATTTGGTGAAAGTTTTGCTTTAATTTTTAGATTATATATTTTGTTCTGAGTGGTATGTTCAACAATGCATTTACTTTTCTGGAAACATACGGTAATTTGTGTGATGATGATGCCGTACGATGCTTGGCCAAAGTGATTTCTGAAATAAAAATGGATCTGTTGAGTGATGAAAATACTGCCTTGGATTTTATCAATGCGCAGGAGGTGAGTTTGTTTGGAAAGGAATCATATCAAGATTTTTAGAAAGTGATTTATGTAAAGAAAAGATATCTTTAAATTAAGTGGATAACAATGTTAGAAGCAACTGACAAACATTTTTTTTGGAGCATAGAAAAATTCTTGGAAACCATTATTATATTTTGCTTTCAGGAAGTACGTAATATGTGTACAAGCGGACATTTTCGAACTAATGCTGAAGCTGAAAAGGTAGCAATGATTATTGCAGGTGACATTCCAACCATAACATCGGTTTCAGCTCATTTGGACAATTGGTTTGAATTAGTACCACCGTATTTATTATTCGTTCGACCATGTGCTACTCTTCCTCAACTTAGAGATGCTGTTAAGGTATATGAAATTCAAATATCTCATCGAGTTTCATTGTTCTTAATAATGTCCTTTCATTCGGATATTGTTTGGTTAAATATAAGAGCATACTGCATACATCGTGTCCACACGTTCAAAAAATCGCGAAACGAAACGTGATTGATTAAATATCTTTACTACTAACTCTGTCAAAGACAAGTGGGATTATAAGGTAACTTTCAGATTAGGTTTTTTGAAATATAAGAAAACGAGGCAGTCGAAAGGTCATTCTGTTGAGATAGCTATTTCTTCTTCTCTGCTTGAGAATTTTGCAGTGATTTCCAGGATTGTCTAAAAATTTTCGGCACATTCTGTTGAGATAGCTATTTCTTCTTCGCTGCTTGAGATTTGCAATCATTTCCAGGATTGTCTAAAAATTTTCGGCATAAGTAAATGCAACGGAATTGATGCTGTAATGTGCGAGCTTTTTTCATTGGAAGCGTTGCGGGCTCTTCATCGAATTTCAACTTCAAGCACCAACTGGTGGTTTCCAGCTCATCTAGCAGATTTATTACAAAAAGCTGATGAACGGATAACAAGTGCTTTTGGTACAGATATACGTCAACATTTGGTTATCGAATATGGGTCGTCACTCTTCAGTGAACCTGGGTATGACATCATTTACTCGGTTATCATTTATGAAAAAAGTTTTCGTAAAGATTAAAAACTGAATTCACAAAATACGGATAGAGAAAATAATAGGATTACCACAACATTTGAATCATTCAATCTCGCATACATTAAAACTTTGAAATATAAGACAAAAGTTGCAATAGCATACCATGCAGTTTTATCCATTTGTTATTTTTTTCTACGGTTAGAAATATTCCTTGAAGTCGATATTACCGAATGGTTACCTCCTTGCATTCGTTCACATATCCGGATTCGGTTGTTTTTCAGAAGAAAAAAAAGGCCGAAAATTATTCGATGAATGATATTGCTTTACAAATAATTATAGATTGTGGCAAGTAGGATTTGATTATCTTCGTGAAACTGGTGATAAGGGATTGGCTCATTTGGAGTTATTGATAGCACAAGTACCTGTGGACAACGAAACTGTTGCTACGAAATTATGCTCATTATGTGATGAAGTAGGTTTTGATCAGACACGAAAAGATATTGCGCGAGCTATGGCTTACAGGTAAACATAAGTATGTTGTAAATTTTACTCGACTTAATATCACTTGTCGTCCACCATTTTCATTGTTCGTTTAGATCTTATGTTTCAGGACAAGAATTATAATTTCTTGGCTATCTATTTCCAGATTATTACGTGCAAGGCAATGGGGCAGCTCTCTGTCGTGGGCCATACGGTCACGTGATATCGAAATTGTTTCTACCGTTGCTGATCAGGTGGTGTCGCGATGTGCACCTGACCAGTTTTCATCCATCACCGTTGTTGAGCATTTTACAGAAGTTATGCTACTTTCGTCATCATTTGCGTTTTTGCATCGATATTATAAATTCCGAAAACTGCTAGAGTCAGACCAGAAAGTCAAAGCTGCGGAACTGCTGGTTTGTTGTTATATTGTAATATATTACTGTAAATTGCGAATTCTTATAGCAAATATAATGATTTGCAAAAGGATTTGTAATCTAGCGCAGTCAAGAATTTATGACTAGCCGCTGTTTCAGTTGCTATTCTCGCCATAAACTCTTGAAGTTCTTATGGCATATCTGTCTTGTTAAGGAAATAGGTTTTTGTTTTTAGTTGGAGAGTATTTACAGGATAGTAACGACGCTAGCTTTGCTGTATCCTTTTGATTTGACCTATGCAGCTTATGAATTATAGGTTGTTAATGAATGAATTGTCTTTGATACTCTTGTTAATGTATAATAAATAGTGAGGGAATGTTTTATAGTTTAATCTTTTGATTTAAATTAATTTGATTATAGGTAGAACTGTTTGTTTCAAATTTATTTCCAAGAAACTTTGATATTATACTTGTCTCCGATTTGATTTCTATTCTCGGTTACGATGATGAGGTATTTTCTCATTCATTCTACGAATTTTCTTTTTACTTTATCTTATGAAATTCATTATTAAATCTGAAATATATGTAAGTGAAATATATATAAGTCTGAAATATATACAAGTGGGAATATGAATAATAAATAATTGGATTTATTGAAATTCAACGTTTTTAGCATCTTTCTGAACTTTTTTAAACTTAAAACGGATCATGATCTATCATCAAATGAGATTATTGTTTTATTGTAACGGTTGCAAATATTATAGCGTATAAAACTCACAAGCATAAAAGTTATTATGATTTATCACAAATATTTACGATGGTTAGGTTTTCGCTTCTAGTCATTGCGGTTACAACTTTTATACATAAAATTGTCGGTCTTTAAGATTTCTCCTCTCTGGATATATTCATAATTGATAATCGTAAACACAAGCATAATCATAAATTTTATAATTATCCATTACTTTTTGCCGATAATGTTGTGGTCATAGTTGTTGCAAACAATGAATTATTTAATAACTCATCAGCAATGGAAAGAATATCACAAGTTCTTTCAGGTTATTTTAAGTAAAGATGGTACTGAGCAGCTGCTGGAATATTTGATACACTATGAAGCAGACGGTCCGTTTGATCATAATTTTGACATGTGGAAAATGCGTTTACGTACAGTACGCTACTTGTTGTTACAAAACTTGGCTCGCACAATCACTTCCTCTTCGTGATTCATTTTGCAGTCATTTTTGATGTCATTTTCTTTTGTTGCTTTATTGATCTCGTTTAAATTGATATTTAAATATTTCAAATTTAGTTACGTATAGCTTCGATAGTTTTTATCAGCTTCATTTTTTCCATACTCTAGCGAAGTTTGATAGTATTACGATACCCTAAAATGATCTACGGGTGTAAATGATCTACGATCTACGAGTATTCGTCAATTGAAAATTATATTTGAACGCTAGGGGTGAATACGTTGTTTGTTCAAACTACGATATGTCATAGTTTACTTTGATCAAAAATATCGATAAACCTATCCCATTAAGTCAAATAGACTGAAAATTCGTCGACTTGGCCATTTCAATCGTACATTTATTGAACAATGATAATCTATTAAATATTCGTTATTAGTTTACATCTGTGAAGTTACCTTTCATTCATCAAATTCATTACTGAAAAGATGATAAAAGAGAAGAATGAACTTTTTCAACTTTTTCTTATAAATTTGCCGTGGAAAGTGCGATTTTTGTTGTTATGAAATTTAAAAATTTTCTTTTGAAATGACATTTTTTTCCATAACTACTGTTTTCTGATAAATTTTTGATTGCATTTATTGAATACACATACTACGATAATGTAATGATGAATTGGTTTTTTATCTATAAGGTTGAGGAATAATTACTGCTGTTATCAATGGGATAAAATCTGGACCAGAACTATCCCTAGATGAGCTTTTTCAACAGTCATCTAATCTTAAATTTTTTTGGAAGTTATTTCTTTTTTTAAAGCTGATATGATGCGAAATATCTGAGTGGTAATTATGAAAATTAGTACAGTGATAAAAAAGAAAAGGATTGCAAAGAGCTTATTAATAAATTTTTGCCAGCGAAAGCCTCAGGACTTTTTTAGGGAGAAACTCTTGCTAAAGACCTTTCTCCTAAATTCGGGCAAATTAAAAAACTCGAGAGTTTTTGCTTTCCAACTATGTCATAAGCGCATGATGAAAACCAGTTAAATCTTTTTTAGCTCTAAACGCAATTTTTTCTCATTTTTCAAAAACGAACACAAAAGACAAATTAAAAATTCATTTTTCAAATCATTTATTAGATGACTTTCAATCATCTACTAAGTTTCTGTCTCAAATCTCAACTTCAATTAAATTCAAATTATACGTCACAAGAGATATAAAAAATTATAAACGTGACGGAATGAGACTTGCAGTTTCGTAGCGAGGAACTTATTTGTGTCCTAAGCATTATCCACCGTAATCTAATCTAACATTTTCTTTCCGATTTTGCGATTTTTTCTCGCAGAAGTTTAGCAATGTTTTCCATAATTTTGTCATCTTGTGCAATATATTATGTCACTAATCTTATTAGTTTCTGCAGTTTCTTCATTTAGTTTTTTTTTATTACCTAGCATAGCTGCAAAGCGTAAATATTTTTCACTGTTTTTTCATTCTCTAGCACATATTGTCATACATCTCTTCATTTTCTGCCATATCTCTTGGTTTACAGCAATACTTTTCAGCAGTGTCTGTTTCCTCAGTCTTTGACGATCCTGTTCAATGACATTATATTTCTTTTCTTTTTTTGCAATTCCTAAAGAAAAAATTTGATGAATAAAAAAAACTTGTCATTCTGGATTTCCATTCTTTACCGGTTGTTCTGATCTTTGAATTTTCGAATTGCACCCTTGCGCAGATCCAACTGCATTGGCCTGATGCAAATTTATCTCTTTACTTCTAAAGCTTATTTATCTCTAAAGCTGTTTTTTAAAAACGTATTGGGAATATGCAGTGTATGGTTTTCAAAAATCGTGTTTGCTGATGATTTCGTTCTTGGTTTCAGGACTGTTACTTCGAATTCTCTCTCAAGTATTATCTGTTCAGTTTAATTGTTGGTTTCCGGGTTATAATGCAACGTGACAGCACATTGTCTGGCTCATCGCAACAGCGATCTCTTTCTTTAGCGACACCAGCAACGGTAACCGGAAACGGTCGATTGAATCCTTTATCATTGGGTGTCGTTGGTATGGACAATCGGCAAGCTGTTATTATCGATGTCGGCGCTGTTCTGACGAAGTTTATCTTATTTTTTTGCATACTTTTTACCGTGAAATATTTGAATTTTCTATAGTTTTATGTCATTTTCTTTGTTTTCTCATAAAATTTTGTAAAAAAAAGAAAGCTAATCATACATGAACGTAATTCATGCAAGTTAATACATTTATTTCAGGGTTGGTTATGCAGGTGAATTTGTTCCACGTGCAATAATACGAACAGAATTATTGGATGATCGTACTGGTGAAACGGTAAAAGTATTGGATGATACGCTTAGTGAGCAGGAACTTTATTATAGATTGGTGAAATTCTTCCGAGAGTTATTTTTCAAGTAAGTCATATTTACTTTCATGTTAAACAACTTATAAATATCCTCCAATACACCTGGAATATCTTTTTATGCAAAGCTGGACGACAACAACTACACGTCTATTGTTATTATTTTGCTGTTTGAACTGTTCTAATATAATGTCTTTACCTATGATTTACGTCTTCAGGAATTCCATGCGCTTAATTTTGAATCCATATTTGGTCGTTTATAACTTTCGTTTTGACAAATTTCAAAGTTATAGGTTTTACTTCAGAATTTAGAATTTATCACAGTGTACTTTTTAGATATTTGTTAACGGTTGCCAAAGATCGTCGGATTGTAATCGTCGAAAGTATTTTGGCACGGACATCACATCGAAATGCCATGGCACGGGTACTTTTTAATACTTTCGATGCTCCATCAATACTTTTCGCTCCGTCGCATCTGTTGGCATCGTTCCCATTTGGTGTCTCGAATGCCCTTGTTATTGATGTTGGATACTCGGAAGCAACCATTGTTCCGGTAAGAATAGCTAGGACTCCGTTTCGAAAAAAAAAATGGTTTGAAATAAAACGTTCGAAAACATGTATTAGTATGCTTACCTCCAGCTTTCCGTAAGTTTATATCATAAATTAGATTCCGAATAAAGAATAAGTGTGCTTGAAAGATTTAAGAATTCAGATCTCTTCATTTAACTGTGAATTTTCCGAGAAATATTCAAATCCTCAATGTTCTTTTGCCTCATTTTTTGGACTTAAAATGAATTTCAATTTTTTATTCAGTTTACAGATTCTAGAAGGTGTCACCATGCTGTATCAGTTGGAAACTTCATGTATTGGTGCGAAATATTTGGAAGAGCGTGTTTATGAACTGTTGCAGAAGTATGATTTTGTCCGTTGCTTTTGTTTGTTTAATATTCTAAAATATTAGAAATTTTCTCTCCCAATTAAAACCGTACATTGAATAAGATCGATGGCAACTAAGCCCTATTTTTCTTTTAGTGCAGTGTGCTAATTAGAACATATCATTAAATTGTGTTTCTCTTTCCACTCAGATGTGGAAAAAATACAGCTCAGTAGAGGAATTTGAAGCAAATAAAATTAGGCATTAATTTCTCATTCTAGCTACGTACATCTCTGTGATATCTTTTAGGTACGGCAAAGTGCTAACGTTTTCGGGCGAAGAGAGGTCGCTGACTGATGGCGATGATTTGCTGTTGAAAAAAGAGCACATTTTAGAAGATATTGTTGTTAGGTTCTGTTTTGCTACTAAAATGGATCGTGGGAAGATGATACAAGCATCGGGTAAGTTACAAGTTCTTTTTGTTGTTTGTAAAGCTTTTAGAAATTGGCACTTAGATTTTATAATAAACGAATAAATTTAGGTAAAACGAAAATAAAAGAAATAAAAACAAAGCTGATCAAGATAAGAGAGAGATGAAAGGAGAACAGAAAGAAATGTCAATTTAAATTGCAGAATATAATCCAGAATGTGAAATTCCGAAGGCACCGTGTGATGTCCGCTTACCGTTCGGTAAAGAAATCCTTGTTGTACCGGGTCTTGTAAGGTAAGATTCAAAATTAGTTTTAATTCACGCGGAACTTCAATGTTTTTGATTTTGATGTTATACTTATTAATTAATCCAGGGAATGGACTGCGGAGGCAATTTTCGAAGAAAGCGATGACATCAAATCTTTGCCACAGTTAGTACTTGACGCCGTATATCGGGTGAATATTTTGCTTTTGTAATCGGAGTTTATTACCATCTTTTGTTTATACAGTCAGTAAACAGGTCTTTTCATGGAAAGATCTTTTCGGGTACACTGTCAAAGAAAGCCTACAACATAGAAGAATGCTCATCAATATACAAATTTACTTTGTTTTAGTGGGATGACTGTCCGGACATTTATTCACTGTCTATTGAAACTGGAAATTTTACTAATGACCAAATGTTTAGTGTCCAATTGATGCAAGAAGAAAGCTGTTGGATAGTATAATACTTGTTGGTGGAACAACACGTATGAAAGGTTTCTATGCACGACTTCGAGATGAAATTTTGCGTTTAATAACAGTATCGTCTTATGTCAGTAAATTAGGGAATATTAAATCCGTCAAATTTTATCGATTGCCAAACACATCAATTGAATTGTATGCCAGCTGGATTGGAGGTAATTAAAAAAAAAACACTAAATGCAAATTGATTTGAAATGCACTTTTGAATAGGACAGCTTAGTCTATTATTTATACTTAGTTTCATTTTACCAGTGGTTCTAGTATTTCATTGATATTACTTGTAATGCAATATTGATGAAACAGTTAAAATCATTTCAATCACCTCAAAAATCAATAACTTTTATTTCTTTTGTGAGCATGACGCCTTAGAAGTTATTTACGGATGTAGTGACGTTGATTACTTTAAACGTCGAGTAATTAAATTATGAATTTAGTAATACGCATCTTGTTGTATTTTCGGAAACATTGTTGTATTTTCGGCAACATATTGAACCATTAAATATTATTTTGCTCAAAGGCCTGAAGGGATTTTTAGTTTGCCGGCATTTGAATTTTTAAATTTTGATTTATATAATAGCATTTTATAGGCAGCATGTTTGGAGCTTTAGAAGTGCTGCAGTATCATTCCTTAACACGAGAGGATTGGGAGACACGTTGCGGAGTACCGGATTGGACGACCAATGTTTATGAGATGAGTCGAGATCCGATCAGAAGTCGTTGAATTTCTTCAGTCGTCTTGTCATTATTTTTGACCAGTAAAAATTGTTTTTTCACAAATTGTTTTAATATTTGTTCAGTTTTGCTAAATAACTTACTGAAATTCATTCAAAACTGAATTTTCTAAGAAATTTGGATTGCTTTATATTTCTTACTCTATATTACTTGAAAGCTTAAAAAATTAGTGTGCAGCTTCTCGAGCTTCTTGCATAGCATCAGATGACATTTCCGGTTTTACTTCATTTAGCTTTGTAAATAAATACCTTAGGGTTGTAGCCATCATAAAAAAGAATTACGCCTTTTTTTAATTCATTTATATTTTTGCTAGCCTTGATGTACAGCCTCAACATTAGAGCTCTTTATTATCAATTGATAATCAATAGAGAAGCGCTTAGCTTTATTATGTTTATCATAAAATTTTTGTGCCAACTTATCATACACCCGCATGACATCTTGTTCTATTTCATTGTTCTCAATATCGTATTTTTCAAGATAGGCAAAAATCTTGCCTACATCTATATCGATCTTATCTCTAACAGATTTGAATTCATCTCCAGTAAAAATTTCAAAATCTCTGTCATCATGTGGAGTTTTTGTTGTATGCATTCTTCCAGAGCCTCAGATTTCTTTGTTTTGAAGTTTCGAAAAATGTTTTATTGCTTGCTATAATTCTTTAGTAGTATTGCTTTAATGTGAATATGTAAGTTATATTTGATTAATAAAGTATTTTTTTGTGTTTTCATTATGTGTTAATCGGTTTTATTCCGAAATTCTTATCTTCCGCTACCGTTAAATAAAGGGTTCAAACATTTTTCTGAATGTGCTTGCTCTTATTATTTCCTAGCGATCGGGAGTGCATTAATCGTTTAATATTCCTATAAAAAAAAAAAACATGATACTCAAGTTACTACTCCGATATTTCTTATCGTAAGTCTTGCTATTGTTATGACATTTTGGTAGTTTTTAATACATTTGTTACTTTACAGTATCACTAGTTCCATAGATTCTTCCGCTTTCCTGGTTATTCATCTGATTGACCTGCTTTCCTGCTTATACTTTCCCACTTCACTTCTTTAATATTCGATATGTCTTGTATCTAACTTATTTATACAGGTAAGTCGAGCTTGGCATGGGATAATGATAAATCTAATTCTCAATAATTTTGTGAAACATCATAGATTATGTTTAACATATTGTGATGAAGGCAGTAGTGGTGAAAAACTTTTTCTACCACTTTATTATTTTTATCTGTATATTTTACATAAATATATATAATGTAAGTAGGGGAGGACTGCATATTATAGGCGAATGTAAGAATAGAAAAATTGGAAATTTTAAAAAAGTAAGAAAATTATTGTAAAAGATTGTTTACTTTCATTTTTACTTAACTCGCACTTGTGATATTTGTTATCTCTCACCATTCTATTCGTGTGACTTTATTTGTTGTAATCGTATTTTTATTTTCTGCGCAGTGAGTAACTGTCGAAATGCTTCATTTTTCCTTTTTTGTTTCATTTTTCACCACGACATATTTTGAGTTGAATTTTTTCTATTTTATCATTTCAACAAACGAGTATTTGTGCCAAACTTTTTTTTAATATTGGTAAAAGTTTTGTTTTTTCGAAAGAATTTTATTACCTGTCGGTTAATCTTTGATATACACATATTGGTAGTAGTATTGATATCCAATGTTTCGATATAGATTTTTTTTCGTTGTATCATTCATTTAATGATTTGACTGGACCCTTTCATCTGATTATGCCATTTCTTGCTTTAATTCATTATTAAAAATAATTTACAGATTGAAAAACCAGAATTCTGTTTTGAATTAATACAGCAGCGCAGATTGAGTGATTATCACTACCTTACTGGAGGTAAATTTTAATTTCGACACTTTTTTAAAAACTTATTAAGTTATCAATAAAAGTGGTGGAGGACCGCTGTTCTGTGGTCCAGAAGAAAAGTGAAACTGTTGTATTGAAAATTATTTAAAAAATAAAATCATAAAAAAGCCTAACTTATCGGATTTGTATGCCGTCTTTGCACTTTGCTTTGAGAGTAAAGGCTCAAAGCTTAGACTTATTGTACTTTCAAAATTTTTAAGAATTATATCTTCTGAAAAATGCGCCAATTCTTTTGTCTTCCTTGACTGCTTACAGAGTTTCAACAAACATTTTGCTTCATCTCATGAAAACTCATCCTGTATGAATTTGAAGGAAAAGTGATTAAGATTTAGCTTTGAGATTTGTTTACTAGAAATATAATTTGAGCCATGTTTTCGCTGGTATTAACGAAAAGAAAAGTCAATTTTCAAACGTTACTCATTATTCAAAGAACATTTTCATTAAAGCATAATCTTTCATTTGATCTCACTGTATAATTAGGCCGAAACCAATTTAAACTCAAGAATTCGAATCAAATTCAAAAATTTTCTTTAGCTTTAACATTTAAATTTTGTTCAAAGATTTTGATAATCGGGAGATTTAATCTGTAATTTCATTCTGTACTATTTTTTTAATTCGTATTTCCTTTTATTTAAGGAGCAGAATGAAGAAATAAAAGATCAGCTATGATCTAAATAATGGAGTAGTCCATTTTTTATGCATTATCTGTTATCCTGCTGTGTATTTGTATGTGTCATCTACATAGTTGCCAACAGTTATCCCATTATTTTGAATAATCATCAGCTTGGTTTAATACCGCAATTCTCTCTTCAGCGATATACGTCGCCAAGATGGCATTACAGAAATTTATTTTGATAGAAAGAAGTGTCTCGTTTCCTTTTCAGTTGCTTATAATATCTAATGTTAGTGATATATTAATCTTTCAGTACTTCAAAACCTCAATCTTTATTTAGGCTGATGATGTGATGAATTATGATTATTCAGTCATAGAAAAAAGATGAAAGATTTTCAAAATTTTTTTGCAATTTTTTTAACAAACGCAATGGAGGCAAATGAGAGAAAAAGAGAGTGAGAAGCAACAGAGAGTTGGAAAAGACAGGTATCGTTGTCGAGTATATCCATATTGCTTAAGGGTTAATAACTTTAATTCTTTTTTCCCATCATTTTAGGCTTATTTAATGTGGTTTATGAATTGTTCATTTATTTTCGAGAAACATTTAGTTTGGAATTAGCAATATCAATTTTATTTCACTTACACCTTTTTATTTTTTTATTTTTTTCATTTGTTTATTTATGTGGAAATAAAGTTAATGTTAGATAGATTAATATAGATTATAGACCACAAATATATATGACTGGAACGAGATGATTACTGATACATTAGTATTCTCTTTATGTTTTAGCTTTTTTTCATTAATTATTATCAGAATGTTGTGAAACTCTTAAACATTCAAATTTTATCAGTTTTGTCGGAATTTAAAATTTTTGTCTAAACTAAAGTACTATACTCATAACTTAAAATAATTGATTTGATAGTTGATATTGAGGAGGTAATTAAGAATTTCTGGTTCTGTTGTATGTCAGAAAGATACTTCATGCAATCCATCACTTAGAGTAATAATAATAAAAAGAATGTTACGCTGCATAATATATAGTTTTATCTTCTCGTACGTTTCCTGATGGTAACAATTTGCTGCCTAATGATTAGATTGCAAAAAAAGTATTTCGTAAAAATGAAAGTTTATGTTATGATGGCATGATCTAAATAACTATGTGAAGTTATAAAGGAAGAAGAAATGCTCGATTAGTTATTGGAATGATCGATGTTGTCTCTTCCATATGCTTTTCTACTTGTTCTTGTCTCTCCTAATTGCATCATTTCATCGTAACATTTCTTCACTTAAGCTTTTCACAGCAACTGCAATTCTTTTTTTGCAGAGAAACAAATTCTATCATCTTTGCAAGATTTTTTTTGTAACTTAGCATCATTTTGTATAACTGCTTAAATACCATCATTTTTAAATAATCTCATTGACAAAATAGCTTATTACATGAATGTGTATCTGCATTATTTATTTTTGAAGGGATGAAGAAATTGTGATATTATGGATAGAAGAATAGGTAAGAATAGTTTGATACTGCATGAAATTATATCTTGAGTTATTATTAGAATGTACGCTGAATTTGTGAAATTTTATTTTATCATTAAAATAGATAAGGAAGCTATAATTTTAAGGAAAAAAAGGAATAATAGGGTTTGCAAAAATTTTTGTTATGAAGATTAAGGCAATGATGATCCAGTCGGTGAATGGTTTAATGGTCTTTATGAATTTGAAGCACGAACATTAGTTTGTGCTACGAATTTTGCCGAAGAGATTATACGATACATGCTGAAGGTTGATAATTTTATATTCATTAACATAGTGCACGTGGAATTCCGTTTTTTTTCCCTTTCTTCTTTCTCCTCTAGTTTTTTTATATTTTTTTTCCTGGAATTTTAGAAAAAATGATAGTTCTTGGTTATGCAGCTAAACCTGCAGTTCTTCGCCAAGTTGATCTGAGTAATTAAAAGAATTGTGAAGTGGGAGAAAGAAGTTTTTTATTTCTAATTTAAGATCAAAATAAACATTTCAGCTTTTTATTTCGTTTCCCATTAACAATTGTTTTCATCAGCGTAATTGTTGTATCTCATTATATTATTATAGTGATGTTTTGAAAAATCTGTCACTATGTTCATGATGAAAATATATATTAAGAATTTATTTTCCATCTTTCTCTCTTCATTCTTTTTTCTTTCGATTTCTGCAGAAATTTTTGACTTCTTGTCATTTCTTCACAATACCATTTCTCTCAGTCCACAATTCCTGCACATTTCCTCAACGTCTAAATTAATACTAAGCTTAATAAGACATCGAAAATTTATTTTGTACTTAGTTTTTGCGCAAGAAATAGTGGTATTTTTCTCTTTAATAATGTTTTATGAGATAAGACATGAGTTAATTGTAGGTGTTATGTTAGTAAGCAAACTGTGAATTAGTCAATAAGTAAATCGAATTAATTCCTGATAAAGTTGTTGATATTTTTTTAAAGGATTCTTGGTTTTAGAAATTTCAGGATAGGGTCAAAATATGTGGCGTCAGATGGGCATCAATTATGTGCGATACTCACAAATTGCAGCATCAGCTACGCGGAAATGTCTGAAAAAAGGATTGAAAAAAGAAGCGGAAAAACCGGCGACATCAACCGTGAAAATTACTTCATGGGAAAACGGGAAGCCGGTGAAAAAAGACTAATATAATTTCCTGTCAATGCCATCCATTTCACTGAATAGTTTTTCCGCTCAACGTTTTGTTTTCATATTTTCGTTATCTCGAAAATTAACAGTAATGCTGTAGAAATGTCTTTATTTCGGATTCTTAAGCTTTTTTGATCAGTCCATTTTGACGGTGCAATTTGCATTCTGTGAATTTCCTCATTATTTTTGTCCATACTAATTCTTTATTATGAATAGAAGATTCAATTTATAATTTCCTATTAGGAACCTGTGTTTTTTGTGGCTTTCAGGTTGGCAAGAGTAGTAATATAATGGCACTGTTATAAGTTAAGCATTTTTCATTGTTAAATATCTTAGCTTTTTGCGAATACAATTTATATTGTAGTGTATTTCGTGTTACGTCGAATTTTTCGCTATTAATATATAAGTGTATGAAATAAAATTTCAGGATGAGTGCTGCTATAAACAAAGCAACACTCGTTGTCGGTAATACAGATTTTGATGAGGAAACATGGCTTGTGGAACCACCAAATCTATCAACACAATCAAATAGCGAGCAAGGGTCCGGACGAATTGTTGAATGGTTACAGGTTGATAGCTTATTTATCCTATTTGTTCTGGAATTGTTGGGAGTTGTGGTCGTTTTGATTAAATTGGAAGCAATTAAGGAAAGAATTCAAATGTTATGAGAACTTTGTGGATTTAGTTGCAAATATAAATATGTCACAGTATGCAAAGTGCCAATGCATTATTGAATATGTAATAATGCAAGGACATGATAATTATGCACGAACGCAACATGATGCATGAAATATTTGTAACATTCTTCATTTTTCATATTTTAGGGTGCAGCGATGAATGTTGATTTCCAAACGCGAAGTGCGTTGAGCAGAAAATTAGCCAGTCAAGCGGCTAGGAAAAGTTAGTTCTCTACATTTTAGTAATATTTGTTAATACAAAATTGTTTTTTCAAATTTTATGAAGAAATAAATTACATATTTTTAAAGTTCAAGCTTAGGTTTGACAATTAAGCTGTAGATACTGATAGGATTGTTATAGATAAATTGTGTTGTTGTTCTAACTTGAAACTGCTTTATAAAAAGTAGATAAAAAGCCTATGATAGTCTTAACATTTAGTTTTGAAATTTTGTATGAATTAATTGTTACTTATGATAGCAATATTTTTTAGAATATAGAATTGGTTCATTAGATATTCATTAGATAAGTTCTCTCTATTCACTCTCATTTTGTGCAAACTAATTCATGCGTATTTAATAAGTGATTACAATTGTAGCGCTATTAATTAAGATGAATATTGTTGATAAATTATCAAAATATTATACTGTTCCCGCATATCAGTTTGCATATCACATCAATTGTCTTGCCTACTGTTTTCTGTATATCAGTTTGCATGAATTGTTTTGCCTACTATGTACTTTCTTTTTACCATGAGTGAAAGCTCTCCTTTCTAAAGATGATCATTTTAAGTCGAAGATTTCCAAAATCATTGCTTATGTAAGTTTTAGCTTGATTGATTTTGCAGTTAGTATAAAAAAATTTTTCTCATCAACGCCATTATTATCGGTGTTATCTCTGGGCATTATTATCGTTGTCATAATGTCTATCACTATCATAAACGATCTTATCATTCACTCTTATCGTTGCTTTATTTCTTAATTTTTGCTAATAGTTGTTACTTTTGCATTTGGTCTTCAAGAGCTGTGATGGTAGTAAAAATTGGGTTGGATGATAAAAATTAACAAAATTCATCGTTAATTGATTATTTCTCCCCTCCTTCTCCCGATCTTTTCGGTTTAGTAAGATATATGGATGAAGATTTGGAAAAACATTATGAATGACTGTGATTTTATCACGGAATTATCTATTTAGTCTCAATTTGATAACCAACGGAAATGTATGAGTATTAAGAAATTTATGAGTACTGAAAGATTCCACCGTTCTTCTTGTTCTTCAATAATTCTATTCATTCTGTTTGATTTCCTCTCTTATTTTCATTTTTATTTTAATTTTCCTTAAGATGTCATTTTTAGGTAATATCATTGCCATTTTGATTTTCTTCATTTTATAGCCTTTAATTGCTTTTGATATTAATTATTTTCATACTTCACTCCATACCTTTTTTCTCTTTCTCTTCAGTGTTATGATACACCGCCAAAGGAATGGACGGACAGAAAATTTTCGTGTCGGTCATTTCTCCAAAATATCATTATATTTCTGAATTTAGCATTTTTTAAAATTATTTTTCAATTACTTAGTTTATTTATTTATTTTATTATTATTATTTGATTTTTTCACTTCTAGTTTATTACGATTTTTTCATTTTTTGTTTTGGTTTTTTCGAGAAAGAATTTTCGATGAAAAAACAGATTTGGTCATCAGCCCACTGCATCTCTTAGTAAAGCTTTACGTCCAATACAATCGATATCCTAAACTCGTGTGATTTACTGAACTTGATCGTCAGATGTGTTTTGCTTATCGGATGAATGATTTAGTGGACTCTGCATTTTAAACTCTTGGACATACACTTTTTAGCATTAAATTTATGCTTTTGAATTAGTCAAACTGCAGCTCATCATTTATACAAGTTAATATTTAATAGCTTTTTCTATTTAATTTTTTCCTTTTATATTTTAGCCCTCATTTTTTCTTTTACATTTTTAGTTAGATCTGAAAGTTAATGGTAATAAATGTTGAAAAATGTTATGAGTTTAGGTAACTTCAGAGCTGATTATCTTCATGCAATGTTGAAAAGAATGATAAACAATTGGTACGAAATTTTAATTTCTGTTATACTTCTAGCACTTTAGTTATAGCAATAATAAGTTTGATATTGGAAAGGATGGAAAAGTAGACGGTGGGAGTGGTAAGTCGTTGATTTTCAAATGAATACATCACAACTTATTTTTTGTTGAACAAAAAAATGTTGCAAAGTAGTTCCGAGAGAATGATGGAAAAAGATAGCTGACATGTTTTATCATATCACAGTATTTTCACTCTACTTCATCCTCATTTCTCGTTTCTCCGATGATTCATTTACCATTTACTTGTTCTTGTTTTTATCTCGTTCTTCCTCGAAAAACTTTATTTTTTTCTCTATTTGCTTGCCAAAAAAATTTGTTTATGTTTACTATTTGGTACATCCAAGTTACTAACTTTTTCCAGGAATTTATATTTGTGTTTTATTGTTCTAATAGGCTTAATGGTATGTAGTGTAGTATTCAAATGAGATTTAACTTGAAATTCTTATTTTTAAGTGAGAATTTTTCTTTTTTTTGAAAGAGTAGAGGAACCAGTTTTTTTAGTACTTCAATGCCCCAAAATATTGAAATCATTATAGTAAAATTTTGAATAGCATAACTAGTTATCACTATAGTGAAATTTTGAACTTTGTTATCGTTTTTCTCCTTCCTAACTTTTCTAACTTCCAAGTTTTCGCTACAAAATATAGAAGTTGTTCTGTTTGTCGTGTTAATTCCATATCTCGTACATCCTGGAACTGTGTTCCGTATTCTATACTCATTTTTCAATATTATTTTACTTTCGACTTATTTAATTACTTTGAAGGCTTAAGTCTAATTTTAAATATTGAACTTTGAAGAAGCAACAATTTTGGAGAGTACGAATTATGCCTTCATGTTGGATTATTTTTCGTTTCCGATTCATGATTACCAAACCGTTTGAATGATAACGAATTTGAAAAAAGAAGTCAAAAGATAACTGTTGTATTATTGCTTCATATTTTAATGCTTGTTATATATATATATATATAGTTTAGCTTTCGCAAATGTATTTGTTGTTATGTTTACGATCATTTATCAACGGATGTCTCCAAATATTTTGTAGAAAAAAGAGCTGAAAAATTACGTGGAAAAGCGGGAAGTGTGAGCGAACATAGACGAGAATATATGACTCAAGTACAGGAAGAACAAATAGAAATGAATCAATCGTATGATGATAGTGATTTAAAAAACGAAGAAATTGTACCAAATTGGAATGATAACTCTATACCAGTAGTGGATAAGGGATTGAGCGAACAACATTCGGAAATATCTTACGAGCAACAGCAGCATGGGATCTTGGGAACTACTGTATCATCAGTATTATCTTCACTACCAACCGGAAATATGACAATAATATCAGATAATGTTGATGATGAAAGTGATGAATTTTATGATGCAAGCTCTGATTTTAATGATGTACCGCTTGCATCTACTACTGGCAGCACACTCTTCGATACTGCTAATATCATATCATCTACGATCGCATCACAAAACGGTAAAATCATTTCAATTATTTGATCAAATATTTACTTTTTTTACCAAAACTGTGTGTGTATGAGGATATTCAGTAATCTAAACTAAATATGGATAATATTGTAATCATGAAAGAAAAAGAAAAGAATGGTTAAATTTTTCATTTGAAAAAAATTTTCGCTATCAATAAATAATTACGGCACCATTTTTTTCTAAAATTTTTCTTCAATTATTACAATATCATTTTCTGATACGTTTGTGAATGAATGTTTTCAAAGGCTTCATGATCCCACTTGGCTCAAATTTTTTTTTTTCAAATTTTTTCCATTTAAATGCCAGTTTCTAAAGTTTCAATTTACATGTTTCCCTCAACATCATACATCAATATTTTGAAGAAACAAATTGACATTTTTCAAAAAGATTACATTGAATCATGTTATAGGTGGACAAGCAATGATTTAATAGATTTAATAATTAGTCAAACGACTAATACTAACGAACTAATTGTTGGTTTAATCAGATGAAAGTAATTTAATGCTGAGTTATGGAAGTGAAAGTAACTTACATGTATGGTATAAAGGGAGCATTTTAATTTTTTCTTCTTGGCATGCTTATTTTCAAAACTTTATTTAGTTTTCAAAATTTTACATAATGCCTTTTAAGCCTGCTTGTATTGCAAAGCATTTCATCCCTGAAATTTATCAGAAATAGATTAGAATTACGATTGATCGATGATTGTGCATGTTGTTATATGGTGGTTAATGATGGTTTGATTGGAAGTTGCAGGATATCAATTTTTCATTTTTTTTTTAATAAACTCAGCGTTTACTAAATAAATAAAATCCTAGAAAATGCAGAAATCATCTAAACCACAAATAAAATTAGAAAGCTCACTGGATGATTAGAGAATGGAAATTACCATTAATTCATACAAATCCTTTCATACTGCAAAGCATTTTTGCCACAGTGGCCCACTTTTGCTCCATGACTCGATAGATCATAAATATTTCGTAAAAAAAGATACTAATGAAGTAATATATGTATTATTTATTATAATCTATTATGCTATAATATTTTATCTTTATTTTGTTGCTGATTATTTTTTCCTCACCAGCTTCATCAAGTAATCATAAATGCCCTATAAGTTCTTTTTATTTTAATTGCTTTTAATAAGCATTTACCGTTCGATTTGTAGCATTTGCTCCTTTTGATGTAGCTTTTTTTTTACAGTCTTTAAACTATAATTTAAGAAATGTTACATTTACAGTACTTTATTTATCCATTATGCTAACAAAAATTTTCAGAAAGCATGTTGTACTACGCTTACAATATTTCCCTTGTTGCGAATTTTGATTTTTCAAGAATTATTTGGATTTAAGTGATAGTTTAATTGTCATAACAGTAATATGAAGATAAAATATGAGAACATATGAGAATTATAGACAATTTTCTATAATTCATTGGAAGTTGTCATACGTATCACGTTACTCTTGCCATAGCTCAATTAAAAAATTCAGTCTGTCATCACTATTTAATACAATAAATTTGTTAAATTTCATTGTATAAGAGGTAAGAGTTAGAGGGAAGGGGGAGGTTAAAAATATATTTGGTTAATTTGCATGCTTAGGTTTCCCGTTTTTTTTAAAATGAAATAAGGAGAAAATATTCTGCTTTTTTAACGCATCTTAATGCACTAATTTATTTTGTATGCGTGCACAGTATATATATATATATATATATATAAATTTTAAAATTAATACTCTCCGAAGATTTTTGAAATGTTCAGATTTTCTTAATTTACTAAAAATTTCAGATTCACGCGATAAAGTAATTTTGAATGGATCATTACTTGAGGCAGTAAGTGAATGCATCGAACCATCTGCAGATGTAATTTTTTTACTTCGAAGATATGAGTTTGTTAAGGTGTAGTAAAAATGATGAGTAATTGAAGAAAAATAGGTGCATATGTGTTTAACTTTAGAAATTTCGAGTTTTTGATGCTAATTATTCTTCCGGTTTTTCTATTTTTATCACAACACTACAGCCAATAATATTTCATCGGTTGAATTTCAGTTTAAGCGAACTATGTCAATTAATATCGATTATTGCTGTAGCTGGCTAGTGTGATTTTTTGCATTAATTAAATTGTATTAGTTGTCAAAAATTATTGCAGTATATGATATATTAATAATACATGGTTAGAAAGTAGTTAAAACTCATACTATTTATATTATGTGTTCCAGTCCATCGCAAAGAGCGTTAGTTTACCAGGCTCAAATGGTTCACGTTATGAAGCACGACAAATTCGACAAATTAATACCGCGCGTGTTCGGCCGATGATTCCACAAAATGTGGTACTAATTTTATCATAATATTTTCGATTTCCTATACAATTTTCTAGAAAATTCGTAGAATTCCTTACCGATTTCGCTATTCGAAATTATGTATATTTAACATGTAACATTGAAAAGCAATAATAATAAAGTTAGTGGATATTGCGGCGTAAAGGACTATTTGTCTCAATTTTTTTTCTCTCAGTTTCTGCTACCTGTTTACTTTCCTGCTTCATAGAGTTCATAGAGCAACTCGGACTTTAATTATTGTATTTTCAATTCTATTTAATATGTATTTTCAATTCTATTTAATAAAACTATTTAATATAGTTTTAACTGTTGCAAAGATAAGGGAAGAAGAATTTTACATACTTGCCCCAATTAATATATATGTAAATAAATGTGACAGATAATAAAACATTTTTTCAAAAAAAGGTGACGATATAATCCTTACATTGGGTATATGCAAAACTGATTCACTGTAGATGTTTATCTTCTCATTACAAAAATCTCATTACACAGTCTTTTCGTTCTTTTCCGTTATAATTCTGACTAGCTTTACAACATCTTTTTTTTTCAAATTTCACAACGATCATCATTACTGGATAAATCAAAATCACCATATGGATTAGCGAAATCTCACTCACCGTCTACACAACCGGATCTGAAAGATATTAAAAGTATTGTCGAACGACAGGAAGCAGGTTTCTTTTTCTAGTATTTGTAATGCATATGAAATCACATATGAAATTATTTTTCTTGTTTTTGTGCTTCATAAAATTGGAGCAATGATAATTTTCATATCCTTTCGGTTTTACGCTAAATTTAAACTTTTCAGAATTGCGGCAAGAACTAAACAGACTGAAATCTAGTGTTCAAGGTGAGATTGCAAGCAAAACTCTTCCTTCAGGCACTCGTTAGTTTTTGATTTTAGTCATCTTTTCCTTGATATTACTTTACTTCAGTCTTTATGGTAAGTTACATAACGTTATGCCGAAAAGTAAGGAAAAAATTGACATTTTTTTTTGTTCGAATAATCGGATTGGACATTTATTGAATAAGTGAAAATCATATACAAAATTTGTATTAAAAATCAGATAAAAATTTTATATATTATTGACTAATTAAAAAATCGCATATATTTTAACTCTTCAGTGTTATGATTTTTCGCTTTAATTTTTTAAGTCGATTTTTTAGTTTCTAAATTATGGTTATTATTTTATGTCAGAATTGCAGGTAAATCTGAGGTGCATTCTGCAAGGTCAGGAATGACACCATTAACATCATCAAGATCTATTGAATTTAATCCAAATGGTGCAAAACTATCAATCGTTGCTGGTCCTTCTCCTATTTTTCATGCTTCTGTAAGTATATCTCATTTTATAATATCCTTCCAAGTTTTTTTTCGTAATAATAACTGAAAGAAAAATATGTATTCATGGAAGCTTTAGAATATAACAGTTGGAGCTTTACGGTAAGAATAGTTTGGGTAGTAGTATGTTGGCCTCATTACTCGTAGTCAATTATTCGTAGCTGTGGGCCAAAATTGATAATCTAAGTCCACATATCGTAGGTTGACTTTGTAATTGTAAACAAGATAGCCAACTTTACATAATACATATTTTTCTTATTGAAAATTCGTGACCTGTTTTTGATTTCTTTATTTCAGCGATTACCGACCCCAGTTCGGAAGAGTCTTGGACGCAGTTTGATCCCAACACCACGTGCTTCTGTGCTTTCGAGATCGTACGTTTTCAAAAAGCTTTCAAATTCTTTGTCGCAATATTTTTCTCCAATTTTAGGAATAGCAAAATACGTGGATTTGTTCGCATGAACGATTTTTACCGATTTATGAAGAAGTTGAAGTGAAAAAGACTCATTGAGACAAGCTAACATGCATTTTTTTAATTCATTGATCTAAAAAATTTTCTTTAAAATAACGTGCTTCATTCTAACTGAATTAAATTAAAAAATTTTTGTTAGACTGAAGTTATAGAAAATTTCATCTAAGCGAAAGAAGACTTCCTTTAAGCGAGATTTATCTTAAAACTTTCTCCCAAGCTAAAACAGCACAGGAATCTTTATAAAGTTGGATTGATGAAGATCTGAAGTAATTATTTTTGACTCAAAATTTCAAAAAATAATGAAATGTCTTCAGAGCTATTCGTGCCCTAGCCGGTGGTAGTACGCCATCATTAGTATTGTCCTCGCAACATATATACGATGATACACGTTCCGAATGTGGTGGCATATCACATAATGAACAACAATGGGCTGACGAATGCTTCTGAACTATGCAACGAAAAAAATGGACTGGCATTGCTATTACTGAAATAGAGTGCCAGAGTTCTAATATTTTTTTTCTTGAAAACTATTTTTTACCTTGTACAATGTTTTGCTTTCAAGCGACAAGCATCAATGTTATCGTTTGCATTATTTTTACGTGTTATATTTTATCCATAATTTTTTTACATTTGCACGTTGAATGTACTAAGCGTAAGTGTTGGAAAGATGTTTACTTTACTAATTTTGTCGTTGATCTAAACTAAGCTCATCTGTAACGAAGAAAATGCATAGAATATTATAGTGTATATGTTATTCTGTTTCCTGTACATTTTGCAACATTTTCCGTACATGAAGTAACCACATTAGCTACTGCAATTTGATTAAAATTTGAAGTTGAAACAAGAAATGATTTTCTTTACTAGTAAATTACGGACAATACTTAGCATTTGGAACTATTGCCTGTTTTCATCAAAGGATGCTTATGCACAGATATATATTTCGCTTTCAAACTTTAATTTCAAGTTGAATTTATTGTACATCTTTTATCTTTCAATATTTTATAAAAGATGATATAGATGGTTTCGGTCCCATCTAGTTCATACTTAATGAATTTTATAATGCTACTTCCCAATCTTCTTCGGCATCGTCCTTTTTTCTTATCGATCTCAAGAAAAAAATTATTGAATTTTTGCTACAGTAAAGATTATGTAAACAGAAAGAAAGAAAATTTCAATCATTTATAATTTCTTTTTCTCCTGTTATAGTGTTCATCCAGTTTTCGATAGTTTATTATGTGAATATTGTGAAAATGAATTGGTAAGATTTTGTAGGATCGTCAGATCAATTGATATTATTATCTTTGAGCATTCTTCATAAATTCAAATATATTATGGTTTTTTTTTCCTGAAAAATTTCTAGTGTTTTAATGGACAACTTGTCACTTTCTAATTTTCATTAATTTTCTTGCAATTTGTTCTTTTTTCTGTATAGGTATATATATCTTGTATTGTGATTCATATTTTATAGTGTCGTATTTTTTCGGAGCTTGTGTAATTTTCCTTTTAGCGAATTTCTTTTCCAATCAAACTTTCTATGCTCTTATCGTTATTTTACATTTAAGTGTCAAAGTAGTTATAATCTAGTCATAGGATATATTTTGTCTTCCATCTCTTTCTCTCGATGGATATACTCTGAATAAGTCTCTGTAAGCTATTCTGCGTTTAAAGTTGCACTTTTGCTGTGGTTGTATTTTAGATTTTTCTTCATTGTTACTCTTTTGCTATGGTTTTTTTACGAAAGTTTAAAAAAATAAAAATTTTCTTAAAGCTACACTTTTGCTGTGATCTTTTTATAAAACTAAGAAAAATAGAATTTTGAAATTTCGACTAACATTTTTGTTACAGCGCAGTATACTTTACATTTATGCATCGGATAAAATGTTATCAGCAGTAGGAGAAGATAAGTTTGAACGTAATAGTTTTATTAACCGGTTATATCTGTTGTCAGATTTTTCTATGATCAAGCTTTACACTTTATTACTAATAATTTTGATAAATTACGTGAAGTCGTTAAGGTCATAAAAAATGAGTGTTGTAGGTATATGTGTGATTTATTACTCTCAATTATTAATTAATGATGAAGAAATGATTATATACGCTTTAAATGATGCTGATTAGGATTCCTTTTCCTATATCTCTTAGTATTCGGCACAAGTAAAGGTACGACTCCTTTATGAAACATTTAAAATTATGATGAAATTTCATTCATGAAGGATCAATTTTTCCTTTCTGTCTTTCCTGCAATTATTAGTACCATATCAGGTGAATAAATAATTGAAAAGGAAAACATGAATTGTTATTATTCAAATAATTATAAATTAATTTGATCGAAATTATTAAGAATGAAAAATAATAAACGGGACAATGCAATATTTTCATTTAAAAAATTCATATTCCCTGTTATCATATCCGGAATATGAAAATAATCATACCCTATCATTATATCCATCATGCCAATCAGCCGTGTCATATGTCAAGCATACCGTGACATGTCATATAAAGAAAAAAAGTGTTGCAGTTGGATTATATTGTTATTCTTATAAACAATTTATTACCGAACAAGTATTCTTGAATTTACATTTTTTTTTTCTAATAACGATTATCAATTATCAATTACATGGAAGATAATTTACAATTAAATATATCATTTGCTTACTGTTACAGATAACTAACTACTGACTTAAGGATAAGGTAAATTTTAATTTTAATTATAGTTTCAAGTTGAATGGAGGGAAGGAAAAGAGAATGAATGAATTGTTTTGACAATGAAATGATGATAAAAGAAGATAACAAAATATCATGATTATTAGAGAAATAAAGAAAGGAAGGAGAAGAAAACAACATGGAAATTACTTACGACTGTAAAACGGAAGAAACGAAAACGAAATGAAAACGAACAATTTCTATTAACAACAATAAATGCTTCCGGTTATTTTGCTTATATTTTATAAAAAATTAAAAATAAGCTTTAATTTAACGAATTAATTAGTCTTTGTTTGCTTTTATTGGAAATTAAAATTTAAAAAATATGAAATCGATTTCCCTTTCCGTATCATGAAAATTTCCGAAATTTAGATTACTTCAGTGGCTGATACTCAATCATTCGCTAATTAATGCAATCTTATCAATTAATTAAGACTACTGTGAAGTGAATATAATGATGTATAAATGGTCCATTTAGCTCACCTAAACATTCACATATCAAAGAACACACAAATAATTATGGCAAAGCGATTATGTCGTCCGTGTTAGTAGTGAAAAAGGAATTTTAAAAAAATGAAATTTTACTAAGTTTTAAATTAATTGAAAGTAAACGAAAAAAAGAAGTCTTGTAGTGGAAGTTTTAATTAAGGAGTGATATACAAAACAATCAAAAGATTTTTTCTTTCATCAATTTGTGAAAATTAAAAATATCTTTACATAAGTGTTATATGATTTCATTATTTCTGTCATACGGTAGTCATTTCCAGGACAGAAGGACGAGAATATCAGAGAGAAATAAAAGAAAAGAATGAGAGAGATCAAAGATTTCCCCATTTTTATGATGGTTGAAAAGAAATAAGCAAAGGAAGTGAAATTACATTTGTTTACTTTTTTCTTTTCCCTTTTAATGATTTATATGGTTGAATTTTTTGTTTACATTGTTTATTAACAATTATTATTTGGATTGCAATATAGAAACTTTTGATATATAATAATGTGACATATTTTGGCGGCTTTTTTCACATTTTATCATCCGAAATTTTGAATAATTTAATAAACTGATGCATAATCCATCTAGAATCGTTAGGAAGAATTTTGTTATATTTTGTGCTATTTGAAATTCCAGATAATCATATCGAAATCTTAAATGGGTAAACAAATCCAAACAACGAATATATTGCATTTATTCAAATGAGACTCAAAATTTTCATAACGCTTGGCGGGCGTTAATGCAAACACAATTATTGTAATCTATCAATTTGTACATCTTCATTATTGCCGACTCGTGCACCCTATGCCGGTATATTCCGCTGAACAGCTGTGGGTCGGAGGTTGGCTCGTGAGCTGGCCGTCGCGTAATTATAGGTTCATTTCAAGTTTAGTTTTGTGGTATAATTTAACTAATTAATGGGTTAACAGGTTCAGATTAGCGTACTTTGACAGTAAAATGATACAAAATTAATGTATACCTATAGTACTTCAAAAATTATGTATTTTAGTTAGGAGTGAAATTAAATATAAAGACGGAATTATTTGAGTAAAAAAGTAAGGGAGTTTTATCAATAAACTCTTTGTCATTTAATGGCATTTGATTATTGCAATGTTTATCCACTACTATCATTTAAGGTGTCATTATTTTTATGCGCTCTTCATTTCCTTTCTTTTTATATTTGTTATCCAAAGATCTTAATATAGCCGTTGCATTTTGTTTTCTCTTCCTTTTCTCCAATCTGCTATGCTTCATAATTTTTCTTTTTTATAATTTTTGTCGTTTAAACGTATTCTCATTTTCTCGCATTTATCATATAAAATTCTAGTTTTTCTATTTTTAATGTTTAAATTTGTTCCTTCTTTTCTTTTTTTTGCTCTCAAAATTTAAATTTACTTATCACTAAAGTCATTGATCTTACCACCTCCTTTTTCTTCCTGTTCAGCTGTTTTATCTTTCCATTTCTCTTACTCATCCAGAGATAAAATTTTGCTTACAGCCAAGCAATGACCTGTTGAAGAATGGAGATAATTGTTCTAAATATTTTTTTCAGTCGCTGTAATTTCGTCACGTTTTGTTCATATAATGAACTCATTAGGAGAGACAGTGACACTGATGGATAGCTCAGGACAAGCTGATTCAGAAGTAGACAACGATTTGGATTATTTCCTTGATAGCCTTGCCAGACAAGTTTCTCCTTTTAATCCCGTCTATTTTTTTCTATTTACACACAAATCGACCTATGTTTTTTTACTGTTTTTATTGCTATATAACTGAGCTTTCCTTTTCTTCATAGCGTCGCTTTATTTGAATAGCTTGAACCGACATTGGTAGAAATATCTCTTATTCCTAGTAATCACTTATACATATCAATTTCATGTCTTAATAAAAATAATGCGAATTGATAAGAAGTTTGAATACTTGTTGTTCTAGGAAAAAGGAGAAAACATATATCTAGCAGAGATTAATTTTTATATACTCTTTATTTCAAATAAAATTTAAAGGAACCAAAGAAACCATTTGATTACGATGAATGGTGTAAGGAGATCGATCAACATCCAGCATTTATGACAGTTTTACAACCTGATAAAAATGGCGAGTTTTCTGAGGCTGTTCAAGCTTTACAGGTATAGCGACCATATGTAGTTATTTAAAGTATGCGTATTCTTGTATTTACATAAACTGCATTCATAGAATTTCAAAGTATGAATATGAAATTTTAGAGTTTTACAAAGAGTATTAAAATGCAGGATTTTGTGGATATTTCAACGAATAAATGTATTTTCATTTCCATTTCGTTTTCAAGCAGCTTTGAATCACAAAATATATGAAATGTTGCTAAACATTTGCTTCGTTTTAGGCATTGAAATACGAAGAGAATGAGTTAGAGGATCGGCGGGCGGTTGCGGAAAAACACAAAATAGATGGCAATAAGCATTTTGAATATAAGAAGTACCATTGGGCTATCAATCGATACACTGATGGTACTTAACTTGCCATAATCATCTAGATAAAAAACATGTTGAAGTCTTGAAAGACTACTCGGGCGTAATGAAAAATAAAATGAAAATTAACTTCTTTTATCTCGGCTGTAGCTTGAAGAACTTCCTTTATTTGTCATTGCAGTTTTTCAGTTAGAGAATTGTGGTGGTAGTTTATGCTTCAGCTATAATGTCTGTCATTTATTAGTTTATTAGATTGTAGGTGGTTTGAGTTGCTTCTTTTTATATAAAGCGTAACAATTCCAATGTAAAAAAAGCTTGGAGATTTTCATTTCTTGAATTAGCTCTACTTAGATAAAACAATAATTTTTCCAAACTGAAGAAATTATTAGTATTTTTCGCAGGTTTTCTCTTTGGATTTGTTATAAATAAGTTTAGCAACTTGAATTTATGCAGGCATTAATCAGAGATGTACAGATCGATCACTCAACTCAATTTTATATGCTAATCGAGCTGCTGCTCAGAAACGTGTTGGTAATGTTGGCTCTGCTTTCAGAGATTGTTTTTTTGCTCGGAAATTCGATCCTGAAAATATGAAGGTTTTTGTTTTGATTTTTATTCACCTTTTCATCTTACTGGTTAGGTAAATGATAATCTTTAGGATTTAATTGGATGAAAACTAGGTGGATTGAAATCGAATTTGATCCACTCATTAGTCAAGCGATGATTCTGATTCACGTTATTGCATCTATCAGTTCATTCTGTTTGCCGTAGATTGCTTTAGCAGTGAGTATCGGCATATTGCCTAATATTTCAGAATAACTTCCTTCATATTTCCAACTTAAAATACATGTTGCGATTGTGGAAATTTTCCTAATTTTATAAATTTTTAACAGAAATCGTAGAATATCGTATGGTTTTTATATTGCCATTGCAATTTCATATATAAATTTGTAATAAATTGGAGAAAATGTTTAAATGTACATCTCGATTCAGGCAATTATTCGTGGCGCTAAATGTTTGGTGGAACTTGGTCGAGGAAGGCAATGCATGGACTGGCTCAAAGGCATTGTTTGAGCTGTATTAAATTACTTTAAATTAATTGGAAAGTATCTAATTACGATTTTAGCAGGTTGCAGATTATTCCTTATAATTCATTTTAAATGCATGTATTTAGATTATAAATCAAAGTATGCATGGGTAAATGAATTGTTTGAAACAGCGCTGGAACTTGCCGTAATTGAGGAACGAGATGAGCGAAGGAGACGACAAGATGTGGGTTCATCAAGTTTGCTGGATATTTGATACCTGTTCTATCTTTTCTGCAACAAAAACTCCTCTATTTTCTCTTTATCACTTGTAAGATAATTATTCAAATTATAGTTATAGGCTGCGAAGGATCTGAGAGCGAAGCATCGATTATTATTGGCATTTAAAGAGAGGAATATTAATTTTCAGCCAATTATATGCTTTGATAATCCTGAATTATTCGAATGGTCACAGATTGAAGTGCAATTGGCATTTCTAAAAGAGGTTGCTCGTTTTGATCTTAATTTGTATAGTTGATTACATTAATATTTTTTGGTACAGATGGCATTGGTCATCGTTTTATGCATAATCATAATCATTTTATGCATGATGAGGACTTAAGACATTCAGAAACTATCTGTTTGGTTTTAGAGAGATGTTCTTTCAACAAAATTTACCTTATCCGTTTGTTCAGCTCAATTTCATTTTAGAAAATGAAGTTTTAAATTTTGTTGTATGATTCTATACAAAACTAATACTATTTTCTTGCAGTCTGAAAAGGTATATGTGGATGATCGCGGTATATTACATTGGCCTATACTGGCGCAGTATCCAGAAACGGGAAAGGTTGATCTAATAACTGATTGCTCCGAAGAAAGTTCAGTAGATGATGTCTTCAGTGGTGTTTTTGAACAAAAAACATCATCTGGTGGTTCTGATTCCATGTTCAAGTAAAATTTAATTCAAATCTTATAATTGCGGCATTCAAGTTCCAAAATGGAAATATGTTTTGAGGCTAGTCTTAATTTTCATGAAAAATAACGTTCTCCTTTTTCCGTCGTGACAACGTTCGATATTTCGTATCTTTGGATTTGGACGAAGAATATAATTGTGCAGAATTGATGCCTAGGTCGAAAATTCGGGAGGCATTATCTATCGCGGGATTTATTGTTGTGCAGGGATTGCCGACTATTCAGGTGGGGCTGATAAAAACTCACAGATGCATAATAGTTAGGATAGAGAGACCTGATATTGTAGTGCTTCTTGTACTATTTGCAAATTTATAGTTTAGACAGTTTTTTAAAAATGAACAAAACTGGCTGGGTCCATTCAGATGAATGTGAATAGATTTTGCATTGTGGTGAAAAATATTCAAGCGATTGGTTCATTATTTAGTATACATAGATATGTTGGCAATTCAACTTAAACGTATTTCAGTTAAATTTAATTTCTGTAGCTGTGGATAATGAAGGAAAAACTGCTCCAAAATCATCATATATTTAAAATAAGAAGTAGAAGTTTAAGACGTTATTTCATGATTCATCGAATTCTTCTCGATGAATAATGACATAATTTAGCATTTTAAACTTCTATTTCACTGATATACCAAATAACGAGAAAACAGTACATTCGAAATACTTTTTCTTAATTAATAGCCCAAAAATGATTGAAAGTTTAATTTTTGAAATGAAGTATGAGGAAGAATTGACGATAAATAAGGAAAGGAACATTAGAAATGAATGACTGAAATTTTTTGCCTTTTCATCTTTTTGAGTATTTTTTTTTTCAAAACTATCAGCTTATATGTATGCTTCAACTTCAGGTCTACACTAAAAAACATGCCGAAACAAATTTTGTGAAAGTTGAAGACTGCTTCTACAAAACCAGATGAAAGTTATATGATTTTTTAATTTTTTGCTTGTATTTTTCGTGTTCTGTTTTTTTAATTCTTTCCATTCAGGTTGCGTGCTTTTTCATATAATTATGTACAGATCCTATTATTTTTGTATGTTTTAAATCAATGCTTTATGTAAATTGCCTATTCACTAGGCATAGATCATATCTTTATTTAAATGCTTTTATGGCCAGCATACGGTTCTTCCTGATGAACACATCGTACTCGGAACTCTTGTATTTTCTAACTTGTGAGATATAGGATGCTTATAATAGAGAAATAAACGCTTTTATTTATGAATTGAGTAAAAGAAATTGAGTTATTTTATTTCTTACCCTGATTTAATATTTTGATCTATTCGAATTGTTGGAAATGCGTAACATTATGGAAAGGTTAGAGAGGGAAAAAGAATTAGCAAAAGGTGAAGGGAATAAAAAACTATGAATTCATTTTTTTCAAGGTGTAGACGTAGTTTTTGTTAGTAACAATATTCGATTTTTATAAAGATGTTGCGGACATTTTGATTTTAGCTGTTTTTGATGTTTGCATTTAACATTAAGTTTTGCGTATATTTGTGTTTTGTAATCTGACATATCGATCTGCTGTATTGCTCCATTATTTTTACTTCTTTCTTTTGTTTTAAGAAATTTAGTGTCAGTACTCGGAAATCATACCTCTCAAAATGTGAACTTCTAATTAACGATTCTACAATTAAAACTGTTTTTCTGGCAAATGACTTAAGGATGGCGAGTAGAAAAAAAATAATAGTCGGAAATTTCAGGCTTCTAAGACAGAAGCTTTTTCAAGTAAGAAAAATTTAGAAGAACCAGTGTTAGATGGGTAACATATGTAGATTATCGCGTAGTTTTCTGGAAGAATTGCTACTGTTAACAGTAATAATTTTCTTTACGCTTCTTTTGATACTATATTTATCAAAGGTGGTCGAAAACGTGTAAAGAATAGGAGCACTCACAATCACAGAAAAATGGAAACACTTTTGCAAAGAGACGTGATATATTTGATATATTAAGTGCGAATGCGCTACGATACATAGAAGTTATGAAGTGGTGGAATTATATTGTAAGAATATAGACCTCTATTTGTAATTCTATGTTTTGATTTGTTACAAATTTTCAGAAAGTGTTGTCACTTATATTTTAAGCAGAAAGTGTTGTCGCTATGTTGGAGTCGGTTTGTTTTTAGGTACTCGTTTGATTTATTTCCAGTGATAGAACGTGTTGTAAGTTCACCGTCATCGCCTCTGTAATTGCATGAGATAGTTATTAAGACGTTTATTTGAAAACTTTCTCGAACTTCCTAATTAGTTATGTATCGCCTACTTAGTTGATCATTTGTATTGTAGGTTCTTTCATTCAACTGGTTAGGTACGGATTCGTTTGGTCGGTTATATTCAGTAAAACTGCATAACTCGATTTAATGATTGACTTCGTTTATCCTAAGAATATTTAGAGTGGAAAATTAGAGGGCAGTTTAGAAATTTTAGCAGAATCCGCAATATAGATGTATAATGAATTGGATATTTGCTAATGTGGGTCTTTTGCATAATTATGTGTCAGAATAATAAGGCACACCAGGATTCCGATGTTTTTCAAGCTTTAAATTTTGAAATAGCCTTACGTTTCATCGTCATTGGTAATTGATCTCATCTGAACTGACTTAATTGATTCTGCAAAAGAATGTAGATTTCAAATAAATTTAAAAGTATATGGAAGACGTCACTTCACCTGAAGTTTAATTTAACGTCGTCAAGGGTTCTACTCTAGCTTATCCATAAATATGTGGATTTTGTCAATTTTGATTCTTTCTTATCCATCAAATTTCCAAGTATGTGAAATTTGATCTACTTATCCATAAACATGTGGGTTTTGTTAGTTTTAATTCTGCAAAACCTAGTTAGAACTTTGATCTACTACCTAATGGTCTAATTAATACAAACATTTAGATGTTAACATTGTTTCATTGGAGGATCCCGAAAGCCGTTTGAGTAGATTCTTTTTAATTCTATCATTAATCGACAGCATCATATCCTAGTATTTACTTACTACGTGAACTTTCCGTTGCTTGTGAACTAGCATTTGATACTGTCTTACTGTTCGTATCATATCGACTGCTACTTGGTCTGCAAAAAAAATTTACTCTTACACATCCTTTTCAGTGATCCTTTCTAAAATCTAAAATGGAAGCTTCTTTGAGTTCAATTAACTTTTTTTTTAGTAGGACTTAAGAAATTGTAACAACGACAAATGGGGAATGACATAGGATACTTCTTATCAATTTCCTCATCTTTGATACTGACACTTGTGACGTTCGGTATTTCTTGCCAACCTTCTACTTTCTCGCCAGGATGTATTCTTTCGAACTGCAAATCATTATATTTTGCTTGAAAATATTTTGACATTTAAACTATAATTAAAATTAAAAACAAGCTATAAAATGTTGAAGAGGAAAGCAAAAGCAAGGCAACAGGTATGATATTAGGTGATTAAACATCTAAACATGCAAATGAAATCAATACAAACTCACGTCAAGTAATGTATATTTAATATTGATTGCAGCTTTTGCTTGAATCCATGATCGACGAATTATGAAATAAATATACCAGGGTAAAATGATGATAGCCATGGAAACACTTCCAACAAGCCAGATAAAATAAAACGTCGGTCGTTGTTGGTTTGTTACCGGATCCACGTAAAATACTTTTTAATGCGCGAATAGAGAGCAGTAATGTGGTAATTGGCAATACGTGCATGGTTGTTAGAAGAATTAGGAACTTCTGTCAAGAAAAACTCTTCAGTCCAAAACTGTCACAGCCCGATCGATTGCATCATGATTTTAATTTCAAATGCGAATTTAAAATTAAAAAGCTAAACTTCAGTAATTAAAGTAACTTTTACCGAAATTCTTCCATAAACTTTCGCTTTCTATTGCCATAATTGTTGCATATATGCTGAAATGTTTCTTGAAATATGTCGAAAATTTAGAACCCAGTCTAAAGTGACCAATGTTACAAGTTTTTCATTATTTTTGTCTTTGATTTGAAGCTATCTTCTAAATTTCATTTAATTTTGAATACAAACATCGCTAAGCGCTAGATGAACGCATTAATGTCGGATTAATTTCTTCATATATTACAATTTCTTTTCCAGACAATTTCTGGACATATTTACATAATATGCAAATTTAATGATTGATTTGTTTATTCAAAAATTTGTAAAAATTGCTGTGAACTATTTGCACAGTGTTAACTTTTACTCATATTTTACTATAAGTAAAGCAACAAATTGCATATGTAATGAATAATTTTTGAACTAAATTAATTGACTAATTAACCGTAAGCAGTTTAATAATTAAAAATAAAAATAGGGAAGATAGAAAAAGACCTGGTTGTTGATCGGTTGATTTCTGTAACTGTTGCTGCTGTTGTTGGGGCGGATTGTAGGGCATAGAATTAATCCGTTGCTATAAATATATGTATTTATATTATATAAATGATTAGT